CCTGCCTCACCTCCCACAATGCTGGGATTACAGATGCGAGCCACCACACCTGGCCTAAAATCCCCAAATTCACACAAGCACAGAAACCCAAGCTTAGTGTCCTTGGGCTGACCTGTGCTCATCACAGTAGTAACAAACACACCCCTGGGTGGAGAGCTAAGATGCTAATGAGTAGTGATGTATGTACTAGCATGTACAACAGTACACGTGTGCATTTGGGGACCACCTAAAACACACTACACAGCAATGCCTATTCCCGCCCCATCATCAGTAGCCTTGTAAGCCTCCCATAAAGGGATTTCCCCATGTCAATTGGTGCTGTCTGGCTTTTAAGGGGCCAGCTGTGATCAGCTGTCAGAGGGAACTTTTGTTTTGCAAGAAACTCTCTTTCCGACGTTAGCTTTGGTCTTGTTTTCAAATTCTTTTGTGCGGTGAAGTCAGGAACCTGAGCTGACCCACTGGCAACACAAATACTGTCCCATTCTGAGGTCTTGGGGTTAGGGCTTCAGCACAGGAATATTCCAGAAAACACAGTTTCCTATAGGGCTTGGTTTAGACAGTGTTGGAATTCATCCTAGGCATAAACTGACTGAGAAACATTGAGTTCTGTAGATTAACTGAGCTATGTGGAGTAAAGTCTAGGCTGATGTAACAAGGTGACCCAATGACATTTAGTGGCTTTAAGAACACAGAAGTTTATTCCATTTTTTTTTTTTTTTGAGACAGGGTCTTGATCTGTCGTCCAGGCCAGAATGCCATCATAACTCACTGCAGCCTCCGCTTCCCAGGCTCAAGTAATCCTCCCACCTCAGCCTCCTGAGTGTCTGGGATTACAGGTGCACATCACCACACCTGGCTAATTTTTTTTTTTGTATTTGTTTGTACAGACAAGGTTTTACCATGTTGCCCAGGCTGGTCTCAAACTCCTGAGCTCAAGTGATCTGCTTTGGACTCTCAGTGCTCGGATTACAGATGTGAGCCACTGCGCCTGGCCAGAATTTTATTCTTCTCTCAAGTTTAGGTCCAGGTTTCTGTCTTAAAGCCTCACCCAGGAGCCCAGGCTAGTGGGTGCCATCCTCAACAAATGACATGAGAGTTACACATGTTGCTTTCACCTACAACCCATAGGTTAGAGCCGAGCCTCATGGGCATAACTGGCTGTAGAAAAAATTGGGAGATTTTGTCTCTAGCCATCCAACCCTGCATCCAAAAAAGCGGGAAGGAAAAATTAGAGGCCACCTGGCTTGGCAGAGTCTGCCCCATCTGATTCTTTAGTAATCCGAGAGAAAAATGCACCCGGGTTAAGCTCCATATGATTTCCTCTGCTAATTTATTAACTTTTTCATTTGCTCTCAGGAGTCATCCGTGAAAGATAAATGTATCCCTGTTCTTCGAGGAAAGACTTGGTTGGAGATTGAAGCTTTTGATGGGAGGGGACTTGCCAGGAGACAGAGCTGAAGACCCAGCTCTGCTATGGAGGGCTGGAAGCTAATTGAGCAGAAACGTGAGTTAGTCAATTGTCATTCGAGTCAGACCATGTGGAGGCCACACTATATCATCAAAGCCGAGGCATTCTGGGAAAGACTATGATTACCCTCATTCATTACGCTGGGAGTCTTTAGACACTTCAAACACGCTAGATTACGAAGTTGCCGGGGCGGAACCTGGAAAAGATAAAGTTATAATTGAAAGCTACTTACGTGGTATATTTTAAATGACTTCGACTTTCTACTTCTAGGCATGTTAAGAAATCTCAAATAACTGTTTCTGACCAGAGCTAAATTTAGACCCTCGGAGATGGATGGCTATGTCGCGCTCTTGCTCAAGTCATGTTAATGGCTTCCTGTTGTTTTCTAAGCGCTGCTGCTTAGAAAACACGGCGCCTACTGTGTGCGTGCCTCTGACAGGTCCTTGAAATCATTTTCTTTAATTCCCGTGACACCCTTGGATAAAGTTGTCAGATTTCACAAATAAAATACAGGATGCTCCATTAGATTTGAATTTCGTGTAAATAATAAAGTTTTTAAAGTAAAAGTAATCCCAGTGCTTTGGGAGATTGAGGTAGGAGGATCACTTGAGGCCAGGAGTTTGAGACCTGCCTGGGCATCACAGCAAGACCCCATCTCTACAACAATAAAATAAAATAAAATAAAATAAAATAAAATAACATTAGCCAGGCATGGTGGCAGGCACCTGTAATTCCAGCTACTCAGGAGGCTGAGGGAGGAGGATTCCGTAAGCCCGAGAGGTGGAGGCTGCAGTGAGCTGTGATCATGGCACTGTACTTTAGCCTGGGCGACAGAGCGAGACCCTGCTTCTCTAAAGAAAATAACAACAGAAAGTAAAAGTGTGTGCTAAATATTGCATTGGACTTGCTTGTGCTAAAAAAAAAATTATTTGTCTGAAATTCAAACACCTCTGGGCATCCTGCATTTCATCTGGCAACCCTACCTGGGAAGTAGGTGGTACCATCCCTGTTTTTCAGGAGACTCAGGGAGTCTTATCTGGGGTCATGCAGCCAGTAAGAATGCAGCAGGGTGAAACAGCCTTTTGGATTTGGAAGGGCGTGGTCTCACCAGCACGCTGTGCTGCCACTCAGTGACATGTGCAGCCCATGCCATCATTGCCAGCCTGCCCCTCTCAACCCTCCAGACCTGGCCCTAACACACCCCCCCGGTTTCCTCTTCTCTGCTCTGCTCATGTCCTCCAGGACCCTGTGCTGGCAGTGAAGGGGACATTCCGGTTCTCAAGAAGCTCCTGACCTACACATTGGGTCTGACCCAATGTGGAAACACCATTCACCAACACTAAGCCTTGCCGAGTGCCTGTTGTGTACCTACAGCCAGCTCAGCCTTTCCCACGTGATCTCTGGCCACCAGCAGGTGAGGCAAAAAACGATTTTAGGTGGAACAAGGTTGAATGTTTTTTAAAAAGCAGTGTGTTTAATGAGTCATAGGAAAATCATAAGTTCCCTACTGGCTTGCACGCATCAGGATTCATGGCTGATTGCTTAGGAGGAGTAACGCATTGAGTCTGGCAAAATTGGACGGGTGGCCCACAGGTGACCCAAGCTGGAAGAAAATCCTGCATTCCTGCCCTAGAGCCCTCCAGACTCAGCATCATCCTCTGTATAATAAGTGGGCTGAACTCACGGTAACAAGGCTCCTGGCTCATGTTTATGGAGCATTTGCATGGCTCCAGGCACTCTTACAGACACTCACGTACCCATTTTGCAGTGGAGAAAGCTGAGGCTGGATGGGTATAGCAGCAAGCACAACCTTCTTGATTTGGTCTCGCTCTGTTTGATCTCATACCTCCCACTCCAAAACAGTGCCTCTCACTGGAGGGGGATCCTGGGTAATGTCTCAAGATATTTTCGGTGTTCAAAATCGGGAGGTGCCACTGGCATCAAGTGTGTGGCAGTCAGGAATGCTGTTTAATATCCTGCAATGCCTGGAACGGCCCCCACCACCGAGAATAATCCAGCCCCAGCTGTTAGCACACGGCAGAGAAAGCCCCCTCTAAACCTGAGAGAGGAGGAGGGCCCACTGCCTCAGCACAGTGTCTTCCTCCAGCTCTCACATACCCATGCCCTGCTCAAGAACACTCAGTGGCTCCCAAGTACCCATGGTCTGACCTTATGTTCAAATCCAGTGACTGGTGCTGACCCATAGGCCAGAAACACTGGGCTTGAGCTTCCTATTCCCATCACTCCTGACCTCCAGATCACCTTAAGAAATTAAAAATCTACTTTTCATTAAAAAAGCACAAGGTCCTGTTCAGTAGAGATCAGACAGGTATTGCAAGTTCTTCTAGCTGCGTATATATTAAGTGATAAGTGAGGGGAGTTGGAGAAATCATTTATTCTTCCTGCGAGGCTGGCAGTGCCTCATGGGGCAGATGACAGTCAAGCTGGGTCTAGAAAAACAAGCGGGGATCGACAGAGAAGGAAGAGGGGCTGTTCTAGGCAGAGGGTGGGAAACAGTGTGCTCCATGGAGGGATGCTGAGACTCTAGAGGTTCTGAAGCTGTTGTGCTCAGGCTTTCGTGAACCTGAGCATCACCTGGGGAATGTGTTTTCAATTCTGTCTGGATCTGTGCGTGGGTTCGGAAGTCTACACTTAAATCAGTACGCAGGGTGGTCTTCTTTCTCTCTTTGTTTCTCTCTTTCTCCCTCTCCCCTCCCTCCCTCCCTCCCTCCTTTCCTCCCTTCCTTCCTTCTCCTCCCCCTCCCCTCCCCTCCTCTCCGCTCCCTCCTCTCCCCTCCCCTCCCCTCCTTTCTTTCTCCCCACTCTCCTTTTTAAAGGCAGGCTGTCATTCTGTTGCCCAGGCTGGAGTGTAGTGGCATGATCACGGCTCACCGAGGCCTCAATCTTCTGGGCTCAGCTGATCCTCCCACCTTAGCCTCCTGGGTAGCTGGGACTACAAGCTCACACCATCACGCCTGGTGAATTTTTAAATTTTTGGTAGAGATGGGATTTTGCCATGTTGCCCAGGCTGGTCTATGATCTCCTGGGCTCAAGCAGTCTTCCTGACTTGTCTTCCCAAAGTGCTGGGATTACAGGTGTGAGCCACCGCGCCCGACCCTTAGGTGATTCTGATGCAGGTGGTATACTGACAGCTCTGAGAAACAGGCTTCCAGGGAACACCCAGAGAAGCTGAAAGTGCAGACTAGAGCAGGGGAAGGATTTGTATGCTCGGTTGAGAAGTTATGATCTTATTTTAAAGTAAAGACAACTTTAGACTCTCTTAAGGAAAGGTCAAGACATGATCTCCTCAAATTAAAATAGAGGTGTTTCTGGAAGTTTAGCTTTGAAAAGATTTACAATAATGAAATTAGAGCGATTTTAGCTGGATCGCTTGAGCCCAGGGGTTTGAAACCAGCCTGGGAAGCATGGCGAAACCCCAACTGTACAAAAAAATAGCTGGGTGTGGTGGTGCACACCTATGGTCCTAGCTATTTGAGGGGCTGAGGCAGGAAGATTGCTTGAGCCCAGGTGTTCGAGGCTGCAATGAGCTATGATCATGCCACTGCACTCCACCCTGGGTGACAGAGCAAGACCCTGTCAAAGAGAACAAAATTAGAGTCATTTTGACAATTCAACTAGATAGGGTGTGATGGGAGCATTTCATCTATAAATCTGGGACTGAGATTAAATTCTAAGGATCAGCTGGAGACAAGGATGCTGGCCAGCTGAGCGTGTGGGTTGATGGGCTTTCAGATGCTTCACGTCTGCCTATCACAGAGCTGAACCAAGTGCCATTTTTCTCTCTTTGGTGGAATACTTAGCTGAGAGCATCGGAAAATTGGTGGATGATTCTTTCAGGCTGAAGAAACAAGTATACTGCCTTCATAGCACTTTGAAAGAAGTTATCCAGTGGACATACTGTCATAAATGATAATATGATTTCTGTTTTCTGATTTGCTCCTGTAAAAGTCTATTTTTATTATAAAATGAATACACATTTATTTACAAAATACAGGAAAACACTGAAGAGTAGAAGGAAAAACATCATTCCTGTTCTTATTTTCCAAACAAAATCCATTCCTTTTCTAGTTTTGAAATAGAAAATTATTTGTCATTTGATGTAACTTTCAGTTTGGACTGACTTGATATGCAAATAACCTCCTCTTATCTCAGAAAAGGTGGCTTTTTTTTTCCTGGCACAGACCTGAATGAACGACCTTGTTTAAATTACATTCAGTTTGACAAATGTCATTGAACGCCTGCCATGTGCGTGCTACTGAGTTAGAGCCTGTGGTGGTTACAAAGATTAATAAGACACAGCACTTCACGCGAGCAGGTTATAAACTAGCAAGAGAGGCGGACCTGTGTAGAGCAAGATAGGGGGATAACCCCAAGGTCAGCAAAGACAGAAGCTTATTCCATGGGCTGTTGATGTGGAGGGTGGAAGTGAGAAGCATGAAAATAATGTTTTGAGAATGTGGCATTTGAGCTGGAACAGAAAGGGCTCCTTGGCTTTGGACTGTAGAATCTGCAGGGAAGGAAATTGAAGAGGTGAAATACATGGAACTTGACAAGGGTGGCTATTGCGGCTTGAGTATGTAATAAATGGAGAATTGATTCATCAGAAGTGCAAGTAGCTGCTCTCCTCAATAGAAGAGGGCTTGGAGAAGAAGAGGGGCTTTAGAAAGTAAGGAGAGTCACTGTCACACAAATGACAGCCAGTGATGGAAGAAGAAGTGCCAGTAAAGCAACATGGCAGGGAGGTAGGGAATTGTGTGTGTGTGCATGCATGCCCGTGTGTGTGTGTGTATGTGTGAACATGTGTGTAGCCATGTCTCTGTGTGTGTGTGTGTGTGTGTGTGTGTGTGTGCAAGTCCATTTGTATATGTGTGATATGGTTTGGTTATCTGATCCCCAAATCTCATGTTGAAATGTAATCCCCAGTGTTGGAGGCAGGGTCTGGTGGGAGGTGATTGGCTTGTGGGGTGGATTTCTCATGGGTGGCTTAGCACTATGTCCTTGGTGCCGTCTTTGCGGTAGTGAGTTCTCATGAGATTGGGTTGTTAAGAAGTCTGTGGCATGCCCCCCGCCCACCCTCTTGCTCTTGCTCTGGTCATGTGAAGTGCCTGCCCCCGCTTCACCTTCCACCATGAGTTCAAGCTCCCTGAGGTCTCCCCAAAAGCTGAACAGGTGCCTGTACTGCTTGCTGTACAGCCTGCAGAACCACGAGCCAATTCAACCTCTTTTCTTTATAAATTACCCAGTTGTACGTATTTCCATATAGCAATGCAAGAACAGCCTCATACAATGTGTGTACGTGTGCATATGCGTGTGCCTGTGTGCTTGTGCATGTGTTTATATGTGCATATGTGTGTGCCTGTGTGCTGTGCATGTGCGCATATGTGTGAAGACAGGGAAGGGGAGAGACTGACTTTTGGCAGTTGCTGTAAATGAAAAGTAATTGATAAAGAGAGGGTCCAAAGAGGATTCTAGAAAGCCTTTTGTATGACACATTTAGTAAAATTCGCTCCTTCTCATCTTTAAGATTAACCTTCAAGAATTTGCTGTCGGGTTTTGGATGAGTTGACAGACAGAGTAAGATGGTCCAGTTATGGTCTGACTTCCTGTCTAATTTTTAATAGCGGGTCCTGCAAACTTTTCAGTTAATTGAGATGAATTTTTATATCCTTGTTCTATCACTCTGTATCAGTTACCTCTTGCTGGGTCCAAAGCACCTGGAACTCTGGCTAATCAGAACTATTTGATGGCTTATGACTCTATGGGTCAAGTATTTGGGCAGGGCTTAGTGGGTTCAGACCTCTGCTCCAAGTGATGTCACCAGGATCACCTGGGCTGGAGGACCTAGTGTGACCTCCCTCACATATATGGAACCTCAGCGTTGGCTGTTCGCTGTGACGTCTTGGGTCTCTTTCCTGCGGCGTCTTCCTCCCCAGGGTCTCTCATCCTTCAGGGTCTCACTCTCCATGTAGCTCCTCCATCTAGCAGGAGAGCTTGGACCTCTTTACATGGTGGTTGGGTTAAAAAAAAAAAAAGAGGAAATGGAAGCTGCAGTCCTCTTAGTTCTGGAAGACACACAATGCTGCTTGTACCACATTCGGAGGACCACAGCAAGTACCAAGACCAGCCCAGATTAAAGAGGCAGAGAACCACATACCTCCTCCTGGCAGGAGATGCTTGAGAACGTCGTGGCCATGATTTCCAGTCTACCAAACATCCCAGTGACATTCCTGGGTTCTTTCTGGTCCCAGGCCCTGCCCTCTCTGGGAAAGTCTCCCTGCCCGAAAGCACCCAGCCTCTCTCAGCTCCATGCCTGTGCCATAGCCAGCCTGAGCCCCCTGTGGTTTGGACAGGGCACCGGGTTGGGGTGGTGCCTCATCAATCTCCACGGACCGCCTCTCTCCATGTAGGGGAAAATTCGATTTCCCAGAGAATTGGGATATCCACTCACTTCAATTCAACACTAACTCCCTTCCAGTCTGGGACTGGAAACGAGAGAAGTGCTTCAGGTAGGTGAAACACAGAAGGGGGAGAGGTTGAAAGCCAGCACTACAGAAGAGCTTCAGGTCTCTACACGTCTCAGCAGAAAACCATCCACGACTTTCTTCTCCTTAAATGGGAAAGATCTTCACATTTCCATTTGTAATTTGCCACTATATGTTTTTCTCATATATTTTACAAAGTTTTTGTTTTCTGATTCTAGAAATAATCTGTTATTTTTTGAAGAGAACTTAGACCATTCAGAAACTTATATGGGAGAAGGAAATCACGCCTAAATCTTACTACCTTGAAATGGCCGCTGTTACTATTGAAACTATCAGAGGGAATATTAGATCGTACAAAATGATATTTTTAACTACATATTGGCTATGACATATAATAAAACAAACACTGTGAGTCTACCACGCAACTTAACAACTGGGACATTGCCACATCATGTCCTCTATATTAGGGGTCCCCTGCCCCGTTAGGACCCAGGCCACACAGTAAGAGGAGAGTGGCAAGCACGTGAGCAACAGCCGCTCCCATCCCCCCAGCGCCACCTCCTGTCTGATTAGCAGTGGCATTTGATTCTCATAGGAGTGCAAAGCCTATTGTGAACCGCGTGTGCGAGGGATCTAGGTTTCAAGCTCCGTCTGAGAATCTAACTAGTGCCTGATGGTCTGGCTGTGTCCTTTATCACCCCCACATGGGACCATCCAGTTGCAGAAAAACAAGCTCAGGGCTCCCCCTGAGTCTACGTTATGGTGAGTTGTAGAATTATTTCATTATATATTACAATGTGATAATAATAGAAATAAAGTGCGTAATAAATGTAACATGCTTGAATCATCTGGAAACCATCACACATTTTTCATAGAAAAACTCTTTTGGCTGGCTGCCATGGCTGACGCCTGTAATCCCAGCACTTTGGGAGGTTGAAGGGGGTGGATCACCTGAAGTCAGGAGCTGGAGACCAGCCTGGCCAACATGGTGAAACCCTGTCTCTACTAAAAATACAAAACACTGGGCTGGGTGTGGTGGCTCACACCTGTAATCCCAGCACTTTGGGAGGCCAAGGTGGGCAGGTGGTCAACAGATCAAGACCCTCCTGGCCAACATGGTGAAATCTTGTCTCTACTAAAAATACAAAAATTAGCTGGGTGTGGTGGCATGTGCCTGTAATCCTAGCTACTTCACCCACCCTGAGTGAATCCCAGCAGTACCAGGTGGTGGAAGCACGCTGCAGGCCGTAGGAGCCGCCTGCATGGCTGTTCAGAGGCGTGTGGGAGCTGAGAGGCCGGTGAGTACAGGAAACAGCGAGCTGGGGGGAAAAGAGGCTTGAGGCCTTGCAGCCATGGTGAGCAGCCTGGGTTTTGTTGTGAGTGGGTATGGAAGGGTTTAACGCAGGGGAGTGAACAGTCTGATTTGCATTTTTGCCAGGTTCACTTGGCTGCCCACACAGAAGGGATTGGAGGGGCTTTTGAAATCATTGACAAGTCTCTGCTGTCTCTAATTGAATTTTTAATCTATTCATTCAATCTGACATCAGATGGGCTTTGACTTCCATTTTCTCAGAATTAAAACTGACTTTTAAATGTTATCGCGGGTCTGTCCGTAGCTTCTAATAGAAGCACATCACTTTTTCTTATCTCCCTCTGCTGTCTTCTTGGGCACTTACGTGAACTCCTTCTGGTTGGTTCAGAGAGGTGCAAAGACCCCAGCCAAGGTGGGGCTGCAGATTCCTTCAGGATGGAAAGGAAAGGGAAGGAAGTGCAGCTGAGCAATTTGGACCTCCCCATGGACTTCCCCATGGTATGCAGGTCGCCACCCAAGGGACCTGGAGATGGCCTTCAGCTTGAAAGCTGTGTCAGGCAGGTAGCCTCTGGGGAAAACAGCCAATGATCTCATGCTTTGAAATCCAGCAGACTGAAGTCAGTGTGCCTGGACCCCACACATTTGCTTTGAGGGCTTGGTTTGGATCAGACCTATAGGCTTTGTGGTGGATGCAGGTGAACAGGTCATTATGGGTCCAGTCCCAAGCTGGGGATTTCTTGGAGGGCTCCCATTGAACTAAAAATCTGTACAGATGTCCACACTTTGAGCCATAGTACGTCCACGTTTTGTTTTAATATCCACATGCTCTAAGCTGGGTCTCTGGAGCACAGCTGGTCCTGTTGGCCTTTGGCTTCGTGTACGTGGACTCGGAGGCATGTATGCCTCGGCCTGAACTTCCGTCAGTTCTCGGCTTAACCTCACATCCTCCTTGAAGCCTTTGCTTCGCCCCACCCCACTCCTGCCCCTCACGAGTTCCTGTGATCTCCTGCACTTCTTCCTAAGACGACACAGTCATGCTGGTTTAGCTTCTATTTTATTTGATTATTGTTTTCAGGGATTGGCGGTAGGTGGAAATTGTGCTGATGGAATGTCTGTCTTCCTCTGCAGGAAAAGCTCCAGGAGGGTGGGCGGTTTGTTCATGTTGATCATTCTCTGAAGGTTCCCTTTCCTAAAACAGAAGCATTGGCCTGTTTATGTTTATCTTTGTTTATTGTCTTAGGGCCTGGTCTGTCTCATTGATCTTCAGACCCCAGGGGAGAGTCATCACCTCATGACCTTGTGAGCGAGGGCACAGGTGTCGTAAAAGGGGCAGGTGACAGTGACAGATTCACGTGCCTGTGCATGGGTCTCAGCTACCCCCTCACAATGTGGGGACCTTGGCCAAGTCTCTTGGAGGCTTAGTTTCTTTGTGTGTAAAAAAATAATAATAGTCTAATGACGCTTTGGGGATCCCTGTGGGAATCAGGCGAGTTAGTAATTGTAAAGTGTGTGCTTGGTTTTGCTGTCCTGCAGCAGCCGGTGTTCCCCGTCTCCCGTCTTACGGTTTGTGGGCTCCTTGTTGGGAGGGCGTTACGGCGACGCTTCTATCCTCATCCTGTGGAGAGGCTTCACCTGCCAGAATCCAATTTCTTCTTCCCCAGGGACCTCACAGTTGGCCACTGTCTCTCAGCCCAGATTTTCCCCTAAGGGGGCTAATTTTCATAGCCTTCAAAGGCATGAAAATTATCTCCCTACGATTTGGGGGACCCCTACATGAAGTCTCGTGTTGTCACAACCTATGGGGAGTGTTTTCCCTGTGGGAGGTGTCCTAGCAGCTGTCTTGAAAATAGCACTGAATGGGCCCAGTGTAGTGGCTCACGCCTGTAATCCCAGCACTTTGGGAGGCCGAGGGGGGCGGATCCACTGAGGTCAGGAGTTGGAGACCAGCCTGGCCAACATGACAAAACCCTATCGCTACTAAAAATACAAAAAATAGCTGGACATGGTGGTGCAGGCCTGTAGTCCCAGCAGTTTATGAGGCTGAGGCAGGAGGATTGCTTGAACCTGGTGGGGCGGAGGTTGCAGTGAGCCGAGTTTACACCGTTGCACTCCAGCCTGGGAGACAGTAAGACTCCATCTTAAAAAGGAAGGGGAGGGGAGGGGAGGGGAGCAAAGGGGAGGAAAGAAAAGAAAAGAAAAGGAAAGAAAAGAAAAAAAAGAAAATAGCACTGAGGTGTAAGGAGTGACTGGCTTCAGTTTCTATTTGTTTAGTATTTTGGCTCAGGAAGCACATGCTGGTGAGTCTAGTGCTCTCGGTCAGTCTGTGAGCCTGGGGTCAAAATTATCTTCGTTTTACAAATGAGAACACAGGTTGCCCTTGTCCTTTCCAGGGGCCCCCAAAGCCCTGGCTCTGCACTACACACATGGTTGATCGTGAAGCATTGGCCTGATGGACCTGGGGCTCGCAAAGGTGAACTGGCCTCATTCCCAAGTTCATCCGATTGAGCCACAAAAAGCATCCATGGTTTCATTCTGGACTTTTGACACCCTGCCGCTTTTTGCTGATAGTTTGCTTGGGCAGTGATTCTGCGTGGGTGGCTCCTTTTTCTGAAAAGCCCGGTGTTCAGGGTTGTCCCATGAACTCAGAAGGCTCCTACTGTCTTTGGGAGAGTGAGGCAGGGGTGGAGCGAACTGGAGTCTCGGCCATGCTTTTCGTCATCTGTTGCAGCTTCTTTGCCATCCAGACCACTCTATGCAAAATTCTTTCCTTCTTGGCTCAAGATGCAAGAAGATTGTATCAGGGTTCTCTAAAGAAACAGCCAACAAAAGATACTTATCTTTCTCTCTCTCCCTTTTGCTCTCTCTTCTATCCATCTATCATCAGTCTAGCTATCCATCTATCATCCATCTCTCTACCTACCTACCTATCTACCTGACTACATTTATTTTAAGGAATTGGCTCCCACAGTGTGGGCGCTAGCAAGTCTGAAGCCGCAGGGGAGATTGACAGGCTGCAAATTCAGGTGACTCGATGTCGCAGTCTTGAGTGTGAATTCTGCAAAACAGGCTGGCAACTCAGGTGAGGTTTCTAGGCTGCAACCTTCAGGAGAATTTCTTCCTCTCTGGGAAAGAAATTGGTCTTCGCTCTTAAGGTCTTCAACTGATTGGATGAGGCCCACCCACATTATGACAGGTAGTCTGCTTCACTGGACGTTTGCTGATTTAAATGGAATCATATCTAAGAAATAACTTCATGGCAACGTCTAGACCGGTGTCTGGCCAAACAACTGGGCACCGGGGCCCAGCGAGGCTGACATGTCAAAGTAACCATCTCACAGTGAATGTGGGACTCAGCCACCCCACTGTCTGCGGCCACTGCCCATGTGGGTCCTCCTCTCTCCCTGCCACCTGCCGAAAAATTCACTAATGTTTGGATGACTCTTAACTTTCTCTTCTTGTTCCAGAATAATTCTGGGCACTGTCTCAGGCTTTCATGCTCTTCTTGGCACCTCCACTTGCCCACCTGTCACCTACGAGACTGAGGCTGCTCTAAGTTGAACCAAGTATTTGAAGATGAATCCCTCTCTTGGCTGCACCTGTTCAAACTTTCTCTATGGACTTTTTTTTTTAGAAAACCTGAACCAAGCAAATCATCTTCACAAAATTTGTCCAAATGCCAAGAAGGCAAGGAAAATTTAGTATTGATTCGATGTTTACGATTATGGCTAATGTATTCATGGTAGATAACATTTATGATACAGCAAAATTGTACATCCACGTATTCACGAGTATATAATGGAACCTCTCGTAATTAGCACATATAATATATTTATAGTATATTTATTCCATCTTGAGTAGATTTTTCTGGTAAGTAATTTAAGAACTGTTTTATAGATGGTGAGACGGTTTGGATTTGTGTCCCCGCCCAGATCTCCTGTTGAATGGGAGGAGGGGCCTGGTGGTGTTACCACATGGAAGGTCTTGACTGTGAGTTGTGCAGGTTCTTGGTGTGTTGAATGAAGAAGTGAACAAAACACACAAACAAAGCGACAAAAGAACGAAGCAACAAAATCACAGATTAATTGAAGTGAAAGTGCACTCCACAGAGTGGGAACATGCTGGAACAAGCAGCTCCAGAGCCCCCAGTTGCAGTGTTCTTTGGAGTTTGCATTAGGCTAAAAGAATCTGGTAACACTCTGACGTGCTCTTGGGAGGCCTCAGTTGGTTACACCCTATGAAGGATTGGCCCGTGGTCAGTCAGAGGCTGAAGTGGAGACCAGGCCCGTGGTCAATCAGAGGCTGAAGTGGAAACTTCTGTCTTGTTATCACAGGAGCCAGGAAGTGGCCTGCGTGCCGCTCACCCTTGCCTGGAAGTGGCTGCACCTGCTGTTCTTCCATGTGTGCGTTAACCCTTGGTTACCCTAATTCCCTATTCTCCTGCCTCAGTGGGAGGTGATGGGATCGTAGGAGCGGAGCTCCCCTTGCAGTTCATGCCATAGCGAGTGAGTTCTCGTGAGATCTGGGTGTTTAGCCGTGTGCGGCGCCTCCCGCTTCTCTCCTGCTGCCGTAGGAAGATGTGCTTGCCCTCCCTCTGCCTTCTGCTGTGACCGTGAGTTTCCTGAGGCCTCCAGGTCATCCTTCCTGTTAAGCCTGCAGAACTGTGAGTCAATTATACCTCTTTTCTTTATCAATTACCCAGTCTCGGGTAGCTGTTTATAGCAGTGTGAAAATGGACTAATACAGATGGGTTGTCTTCGCTTTCAGTATATTTACGGTGCTGAATCAATTTCCAGTTACAATGTTATTTCCATGAGGGAACGACAGGCTGTTTTATGACCTGCTTTATGAAATAGTTTTCCAGAATTCATCTTGGCCAGAGTGACAGTGCCTAGTGGCCTTTGACCCCTGACCTTTTCCCTCCCCTCCTCGTTCTGCTCCGTTGTGCCCCAGTGTTGCTGGAGGGTGGCACCCAGTTACCTCTGGTGTTGAGAGGGTAGTACAGATGTCTATTTTTAGGTCTATATCCTGAGAATCAGGTTAAATCTATTAAAATGGAATGTTTGCTTTGTAAGAAGGAATTTGTGTGTATGTCTGTCTTGAAGTAACGTCCCTGTTTATTTTTGAATGAAAAAGAGTCTTCAAACAAATCCTCTAATTTGACTCTCCAGCAAAAGCCCCAGGTACTGGTTTACTGATTTATTTGGAAAGTTTTCCAGTGGGAAGCGCTTTGTGGCAGGGTGGGAGCTGCTAAATCTTGGGAGTGGGGGCGGGGCGGGGGACCAGCTGAGGCCAATTGATTAATGAAACGAGGGCCCAGAGTGTTTTGAGGCACAGAGTTGGAAAATGGGAGAGTCGCGATTGTCTGGGAGGCTTCAGAGTGGAGTAAATTGGCCTTGAAAAGGCAAGCTGGTTATAGAACTGAGCCGGGGTCCGCTTGCCCGCTGTAGAAAGTCCAGAAATCCCCACCGAGGTCGCAGGGGTAGAAAGGAAGGCAGACGAGGTATCTATTGCTCAAACCCTGACCTCCCCCAGGGCTCCCAGGTGCTACAGGAAAACAAGAGCTGCAGGCAGAATAGAAAATTGGCACCTGGAGTTGACAGCGGCTTTTGGCCTAAATGGCTGCAATATCTTAAGGTGGGGCTTTCAGGTTATAGGTAGAGTCAAAGATTTTCTGATTTGAAATTGGTTAAGGAAGAGAAGTTTTGTCTGAAAACTTGGGATCAGGTGAAAAAAATGTTAACTGGCTTTGAATGTGACTCTGTCCAAGCCCCTCAGGAAGAAATTAGAGCAAAGAATGGAGAGAAACAGTTGAGTCCTCAGTTTCCCCTTATCTGAGGTCCACATGCATCCATATGTAAGTGGGGTTCCTTTGGGGAGGGTATCCAGAAACAGCTGTGAAGATACATCTTAGTTTCTCTAGGGAAAGTAGACAACTCTAAATTCTAACTTCCTTGGCTAGCTATTATTTTAGGATACTGTGATCTTGTCATAAAGCTGCATATTTGCCTCTCTTGGCCAGGGAGCTGCCTGGAGTTTTCCTTGAAGAAGCTCAGAATTTTCCTTTATTTCCATGCTTGGGGCAGCGGAGGTTGGGGCATGGGCCCTTAAAAAGGGGGTTCCTGCTGGTCTCCAGCTTAGCTTGCCTGGAGAGGAGGGGAAGGGAGGGAGGGCTGGAGCAGAAGCTGGAAGGCAGACATGAGGTGGCGGACGGCAGAGCTGGGAAGCAAGCCCGGGAGGCGGAGGGGGATTGTCAGAGGCTGACTGCCCGGAGAGGTGATGGTCAGACTGCACGAGTTGGACATGATTTCTTTCCAGCATCAGGGAAGAGGAGTCAGAAAAAGTTCTTAGATAGCAAAGAAATGGAGTGAAATTCGTGTTTGGGAAGAATGAGTCTGGATGGATCTGGGGGGCAGGGATACCCTTTATTTAAATTAGAAAAATTACTTCTGTCCCTTCCATACATATTGTTAATGAAAGGAGCCACACTCTATAAAATATTTGAAGTGATTTATTCTGAGCCAAATATGAGTGACTGTGGCCTGTGATGCACACAGCGTCCAACAGGAGAAATTCTTGTCCTGTGCAGGGTTAGCCTCATTCCACCCTGGGAGTTTCTGTCTTTCTAGTCAAAGAAAGGCCAGGAAGCCTGGATTTTGGACTCTTCTACCATTTAGCTCTGTATTTTGTCCAAATCATTTAGATTTCTCTCTGTTTTCCTTTTTTTTTTTTTTTTTTTAGACAGGGTCTGGCTCTGTCGCCCAGGCTGGAGTACAGTGGAACAATCACAGCTCACTGCAGCCTTTACCCCCAGGCCCAAGCTATCCTTGCAGCTGAGCTTCGCGAGCAGCTGGGGCCACAGCCATGCCTGGCCATTTTTTTTTTTTCTTTTGGTAGAGAAGGGGTTTCACTATGTTGTCCAGGCTGGTGTTAAGATCCTGGGCTCAAGCGATCCTCCTGCCTTGGTTTCCCAGAATGCTGGGATTGCAGGCATGAGACACAGCACCTAGCCCACTCTTCCTATCTCAACTGAAGACTGGTTAAGTTGACAATTATATGGAAGTGTGAAGATGTGTTAAAGTACTAAGAACTCTATGAGTGAAGATGGTATCAATTTATCTGGGGATACACAATCCTTAAGGAAGGGAAGCTAATACACACAGGGCCTTGAATGTGTCCAGCCTTCATAAGCATCCGCTCATTTAATCCAGTCTCACTGCATCCTTATTTAACCCTGGGAGGAAGGAACCACCTTTAATATATGATGAACCTAAGGTCCAGAGGTAGAAGTCATTTTCCCAAGTCACACAGCTGGCAAGTAGAAGACACAAAATTGTAGCCAAAGGTGATTGGATTCTGAGGCCAGGCTACATGCATACTAGTACCCTGTGGGACCCTTTGTTGGACATAGCTTGCTAACAGTCAGATCTTTAATAGGAGATTTAAGGTCAATGTGGGTTGGGAACAGTTGCTCAGTGCCACAAAGAAAAACTGGCACTGAGCTAAGGATTTTCTTTTAGCAATGCAATTTTTACTTCCTGGACTGCAGGAAGGGTACTCTCACTAACCATTTTGCGGCAAGAGTACAGTGAACAAAGGAAAGCAGATATATTTATTCCTTACTCATTTGGGGTCGTCCTTACTGCTGTGTCTGATCTCCATTGGGTGGAGCCAGACCTCACAATCTAAACTAAAAGCCGATTGGCTAACAACTTAAAACTTTTCTAAACAGGTAAAAGTAGTGGAGAGCTGGGACATGCCTGTGAGTACGTCCAGCACAGATACCTTGGTTAAAGTACAAGGACATAGAGTGTATTAGGTGCATGGCGTATCTAACAGCTACATAGGATGGGGCTTAACAAAGAGTTATTAGCACACTTATGATTTATTCTTTAACAAGAAAGGAAACTTTAAAGGGGAACTTTTCTACTTTCTGCAATGTATTAGTTTGCTCGGCTGCCATCACAAAGTACCACATACTGGATGGCTTCAACAATGGATATTTATGTTTGCATGGCTCTGGAGACTGGAAGTCCAAGGTCAGTGAGCCAGCGGGGTTGGTTTCTCCTGAGGCCTCTCTCCTTGACTTGGAGATGGCCATCTCCTCCCTGTGACCTTACGTGGCTGTGCATGTCTGTGTCCTAATCTTCCTATAAGGACCCCTAGTAACTTCATTTAACCTCAGTTACCTCTTTAAGAACCCTATGTTCAAACACAATCCCATTCTGAGGAACTGAGGGTCAGGCTTAAACACATGAATTTCACGGAGACACAGTTGGGCCCATAACACTAGATACATTTAATTCCTTGCTTCAGTCAATTTCAGTTGCTGCAATTCTGCACACTGGCTATCTAAAGCGGGGGACCACTTTGGCTTTACAATGGCTTTTCAGATTGCAAGCACCTTACCATCTTGAGCCTCGTTTAACAATGCGGTCAGGCAGATGGAAGAGATGTTATTGATCTTCTAAAGAAATTGAGGCTTAGAGATTTTATATGACTCATTGACGGACAGATTAAGTCGGCGGTATTTTTTGCCCTTCTGGCAACAAAAACTGAAACCTGGTATTTGCACGTGGTGATAAAAAATATTGAAACACTTGGCACGGTGCTGTCCTAAAGGCCTTAGGCAAATTCTGAAAGACACAGTGAAAACATAATGGCTTTTAATTTTAGGAAACTAAGTTCTCTATAATTCTACTCCAAATAGTTATTTTCAGTTTTGTATGCTCTTTCCCTACTGTGCCCACATTTTCACATAGTTGTAATTACTGTATATATCCTCTCGTGTTCTATGTTCCACTGCATTTTGATTTTGAGATAATTGTGATTGACAGGCAGTTGTAAATAATACAGAGAGATCCCATGTTCCCTTGACTGAGTTTTCCACAATGGTCACATCTTATGAAACGACAATATTACAATGCAATATTAGAAGTGCAGTATTACAACCAGAATATTGACATTGAAATAGTCCCGATACAGAACATTTCCATCACTACAAGGATCCCTCATGTATCCCTTTTATAACCACCCCCCTCCTCACTAATCTTCATTCCTACAGTTATTTTCATTTCAAAATATATAAATACACAAATGGAACCATACAGTGTGTAAACCTTTGAGCTAGCTTTTTTTCACTCAGCATCATTCTCTGAAGATTTATCCAGGCTGTTATTGATATCTGTCCATTGCTTTCTCCTTTTTAGGAACAAACAATTTGTTAGTTCCTTTTTATTGTTTCTTTTGTTGTTCCTAGTTTGTTCCTTTTTATTGCTGAGTAGAATTCCATCGTATAGATGTACCATAGTGTGTTTAACCATTCACCTGGTAAAAGACATTTGAGTTGTTTGAAATTTTGTGTTGTTACAAATACAGCTGCTATAAACATTGTATGCAAATTTTTGTGCACACATGAGTTTCGTTTCCGTGAGATTAGTGCCCAGGAATGTAGTTGTTGAGTTGTATGATGGTCATGTGTTTAATTTTTTAAGAAACTTCCAAGCTGTCTGCTAGAATAGCTGTGTTATTTTATTTTCCCGCCAGTAATATATGAATGATCCGATTTCTCTGCATCCTTGTTAGCATTTGGGGTTGCGACTATTGTTTTTAAGTCCTTCTCATAGTTATGTAGGAATATCTCGCTGTGGTTTTAGTTTGCGTTTCCCCAATGACTAATGTTGATGAACATCTTTTCATGTGCATATTTGCCATGTGTACATCCGCCTCAGTGAAATGTCTTTTTATGTCTTAACCATTTTCTAATTGAATTGCTTGGTTTTTACTGTTGAGTTTTAAGAATTCTTTATGTATTCTAGTTACTAGTCCTTTGTTAGATATATGGTTTGCAAACATTTTCTCCCACTCTATAGCTTGTTTTTTCATCCTCTTAATGGGGTCTTTTGCAAAACAAAAGTTTTACATTTTGATGAAGTTCAGTTTACAATTTTTATAAATAGATTGTGGTTTTGGTGTCAAGCCTAAAAACTCTTTGTCCAGATCCTGATGATTTTCTTTTATATTTTTCTAAAAGTTTAATAATTTTATGTCTTTTAAGTCTGTGATCCATTTTGAATAAATTTTGTATGAAATGTGAGGCTTTGGTCAAGATTTTTTT